TTTTCCAGATTTGCACGTAATTTGAGTCCGTTGGGTCAATGGAAAGCGACAGCAGTGAATTTCTTCTCCCTTGATGAAGCAAGCGGGCGCCAATAAATTATTCATAAATTGTGAGTGCTGCCAGCCATGCTACTGAAGAGAGAATTTATAGATTTCTTTTTTTCGCTGCAAACAATCTCCAATTACATTGAACAAAAACAAGGGATGGGACTGACATAGGTTTCATTCTAAATGCCACTACTGCGCTTCGTTTCTCGTGATAAAAGCTGAACTTCCACAATTTTTGTGATGGGGTTTTTTTTTCCTCGCATATTGGTATGATGTTTGATATTCTCTGTTCATCTGGTTTTGAACCGTTGCTCTTTTAAACTCATAAAGAAATGGGTTTTAGAACAGCTATTTTGTCTTTACTTGATAGACTAAAGCAGAATTAGTGGACAGTAATTACTGAAGAATATGTCTTATTGTTTTTTATTCTAGAAACAGGCAAATATTCTAGCACTCTGTTCATTTCACTTTCATGTTGACGTCATTTCTCTTATGTTGATCTCTCTAATCTCCTTGATATCCCTTCATGTTTTTACTTTTTCGAATAATTCTTGCGCTCAGAGCTGAGCTTATCCCTCCTACCTACATTCCTTAATTATTGCTGTTTCTCAGCTGAAGAACTTTGCGGTGTATAGGCACTTCAATGCTTGAAGTAGCGCATTGGGTAGACATACGCTTCCTTTATTGAGAACCTCCCTATTAAAGGCAGGTCGCGTTCGAAAATGGTGATTGCCAATGTCCTATGTGGAACCCTATGTTGTACCGTAAAACCCTGTGTTGTAAGTGCACAGGACGAAGGAAGGGGCAGGGCACATCGTTGATGGGAAATCCCCAGCAGGGGGTCGTATTTGGCCGCCAGGAGAGGGGGTCGTATTTGGGCTGGGAAAAATTTATTTTGATAGTTGATTTTTCTCGCTTCACGGACGTTGTAAAAGGGGAGGGGGTCGTACTTGTTGGGAGGGGGGGGTCGTATTTACGTTTTGGCGTTGTAGGAGTGGTGGTTGACTTTTGGTGATTTTCCTGTTTCACATGTGCTATTTACCCCCCCCCCCCCCCCGCTCGACGGCTCGATTCGATGAGGAGGAACAGAGGGCCGGAGAGGGGGGGGGGTCGTACCAACCCCCAAAAAAAAGGGGGGGGGTCAGTACAGACTACAGGTACAGACTCGACCGAAATCCCCAACCAATGATGTGTCTGGAAAGAAGTGGTTGAACGATTTGTAATTTGACGAGTTGTCATTTGCTGGTACTAGCTTTTCCAGTTTAAAATGAAAGTTGTGTGTAGCCGATGCTTGTGGGAGGGGCCATGATTCCGTCGCGGCTCGTGCTTCTGTCGCGTATTTTTGAACTGCAAGTAGTAAATCCTCAATGCTTGCATGCGGGACTACCATGTCCAAAAAAGGCGGCTAAACATCAGTATACGCAGGGCGTGTCTTTGAGGCGGTATCCTTTGAGCTTAATGACCTAGTTGAACAGTCAGGTGTGCTTCGTCTATTTCATCAGTTTCAAACTTTACGAACTGACTTATAGGTATATAGCTATTGGTCAGATGAGGTATGTAACTGACAACCATGTTCTTCAAAGTAGCGATGGCGTTGAAAATGAGTGAAACCGCTCAGGAAAGGAATGCAAATAGCGCTCTCTATTCGTAAATAGCGGGGGGGGGGAAGGGGG